TGGGGTTTGCCTTCTGTTGGAGGGAGCTGCCCCACCCAAGGCTACACCTCCCACTCGGTGACTGGGCTCTGTGGGGTTCAGAGCTCCTACTCCCCCGCCTTCAGGCGGGACCGCCTGCAGGGCCATGGGCGCAGGGCTCCCTGGGGGCTGCCAGGCCTCCATTTTTATTCATCACAGATCAGCCTCTCCGACTCCTCCTCCTCCATCCTGCCGCCCCTATTGTTCTGGGGAGCCTTCGCCAGTCAACCGTCAGCACTCAAATCTCCGCAGAGGCTTTTTTCCTGGGGAACCTGGCCTAAGACAGCATGTTCCCATTTGATTGAGAGTCTTTTTCTTTCTTAATGTTCCATAAAATAAAGGTGTGACTTACCACTCATGGCGTCTTAGATTCCATAAAATAAGCTGGGAGATAGCCAAGGGCAAGGGTGGAGGCGGCGGAGAAAGGGCAGCGGTGGAGACCGGAGCTCAGAGGCCTTGGGCACCGTGCTGCTTGCCGTGTTTAGACTTTGTCTTGAAGGAAGGTCACATAAGCAAATTTGGTTTTGGAAAGATCTGCCCGGTTGAGGGGTGGATAAAAGATGGAAAGGACAAGGTTTGGAGCAGAGGAAACAGAGCCAGCTGTGTACGCAGGTGGCATTACAGAGGCGAGATCGCCAAGGTTTGGCCACTATCATGGCTGTGCAGATTTCTGGCTTGGGGACCAAACTGCAACAAGCCTGAGAGGTGGTGAAGGACTGCAGGGTGCTCCGTGTTTTATATGCCACGGACGAAGAGGAGCAAGGTTCCCAGTGACACCGTGACCTGCTGTTGACTGTGGGACACATCCTAGTCTCAGGTATGTCAAAAAGTGGGGAAATGCGCGTATTAGCATTGAAGAACTGTAGTGCCTGCCCTCTCCCTCAAGTCAGGTCGGGCCACCTGCTCGGGATGTCTCCTTCAGCCCTCGGCGAGGGAGGCGCCCCACTGCGGCCTGGGCGGCCGTCAGCCTGTGGGCGCCGTTGTGAACCTTCACGAACAAACACCCACAGAAGCCGAGCGCGCGGGCCGCTCTCTTGCGGGGTCAGGGATTCAGCAGCTGGAACAGGAGAACATCCGGCCGGATCGCCCGCGGCTGCAGGTGCCTC